CTTCCTTCCTTCATTCCTTCCTTTCCTTCCTTCCTTCCTTCCTTCCTTCCTTCCTTCCTTCCTTCCCTTTTTTCCTGCCTTCCTTCCCCCGCCTCTCTACCCCACCTCCCTACTCTTCCCCTCTCTCTTTCTTTTAAACAGTATTCATATTTCTGCTGTGCACTACATGAATATCCGCAGTAAATGGGACAAGGATTATTAAAAGATTCACCTCAGTTCAGATTAAGCATTGGTACCAGATGAAGAAAAATTTGGTTTCCAGATTTTTCTTGGATTTCAGGCTAAAGGATGGCAAGCCTTGCATCCCCTGTTCCCTCTCTTCCGCCTTGAGAGGTCAGGTGGGATGTGTCCGTGTAAGAAATGTTCACAGCTATAGAAAATTTTTGAGTTTATTTGAACCAAAACTGACAAGAATTGCTGGGAAGCAAGATCTCAACTTCCCCCTCCCCCAGAATGGAGTTTGTAGTTTCTTTTATGCAATTGAAATTAAGGAGGGAACTTAGGGAAAATTACATGAAGGTGAGAGAAAGCAAAGGAGAGATTGAATTATGGGATAGTTAACAAGATTATATGCTCTCTTGAGGATACTTATGCTTTTTCTGACATTTCAAAGGTGTGTTAACCTAGATGCACAGGAACAATGGACAGGGCTGGGTTAAAAACCTTTCACTAAAGAAGTTAATAGGCCTGGGCCAGACTACCTGCCATGACTTACCTAGTCAGGAATTTATGATCAGATCATCCTGTGAGGTTACGGTCCATAGAACCTCCTTTTTCGGCACAAAGGTGACATCTAGAGGAAGAATCTGTTCTTCTAAGGTAGGAGAGGTATGCAGATGGGTGTGGTACACAGCTCCTTCTTGTGACCATAGGGGCAAGTCCTGATTTTTATTTAACAATTATAAAGTATAAAAATTATACCCTGTCACTTTAAAATAAATTAAAACAAATGGTAAAAAAAATGTGAGCATCTCTATGCCCTCCGAACAACCCTACCATTCTCCTGTTGTCCCCTTGGAACCATCCTAATGCACACATACACATGTACATATGAATAAATACAGAGGACTCTATGGTGTTTTGGTTTTTTTTAAACATAAATGGGGTCATGCTGGACATTACTGTTACCCACTCCACCCCTTGCTTGCCCTTTTCACTTACCTTTATATCTTGGGGATCTTATAGGTTAGAACCCACAGGTTCCCCCAGGTTTATATAATTAGGGGGTGCAGAGTCCTCCAAAGAAAATGAGTGTATGTGGGGGGACGTCTTTGTAGGGAACCCCTAGGAGAGGACTCTGAATTTTGAGAAAGGACTGTGGGCCCCTTCAGAAATAGGCTGCTTAAGTACAGGTGGTATCCCCTCCTCCAATTCTCCCTTCCTGGAGTACTAGAGCCTTTTTAAGGGAGAAGTTTCTAGTCACTTCTAAGGAAAGTCTCCTTCATTATTTAAGTACTTTTCAAAAATGCTGGATGAGATGAAGTAAATAGCCTGGCTCCATCTCTACCCCAACACAAGCAGAGGAATGACTCTGCAGGAGCAAAAACATTCTCAGAGGGCAGCCAGGGAGGGGCTAAAGGTGGGGCCACACTGTCCTGCTGCTCCTCTGATTGATGGGGATGGTTTGGACTTACCGGTCTGGGCAGGAGCTTCTGGCCTTTTTTACCACTGACTGGTGAGCTGTCCCTGGAGTCCCTGCCCATAGTAGGTGCTGCTGATGTCCTTTCCAGGTCCCCTTTACTGACTGCTGCACCAAACCCCCACCTGCTGTGGGTGTTGGCAGCAAGGGCTCACAGCTGCCCCTTTCCCCCAGAGAACCACCCTTAAGTGACTGGAGATGCCTGAGAAGTTATACCCCATTCACTTCCTCTCACCTCCTAGGGTTGCCAGATAAAATACAGAATGCCAGCTAAATTTAATTTCAGATAAATGAATGCTCTTTAAGTGTAAAGATATCCCATTTATTGTTTATCTGATACTCAAGTTAAACTGGACAACCTGTTTTTGTTTGTCTTGCTAAATCTGGCAAACCTACAGCTGGCAGTCAGTAAGGCTTGGGCCACATGCTTCCAAGGCTGGAAGCTTTCTGGTATCATTTATGCTCCAGGGCTCCCCCATGGTATCAGGCTGAAGCTAGACTTCCTCTGAACCCACGTCTTTGCTTAGCTTCTCCCCTTGCCCCATTCTACTTCCTTCCTCCCTTGTGGGTTTCACACGAGAGCTGTCCCCGCAAAAATCACTTACATGAAGATCCTTGTGTCAGGCTTGGCTTCTAGGGACTCAGAAGCACTGGCTGCTTTTCAAAGCTTCCTGTTTGATAATAATGCTCAAGGTTACCTCAGAGGAACAGATCCCAGCCTTGTGTTTACATGGAAGGGATGGAATGCAGCATTTTAGGCTCCAGGGCTTCTCACTACCTTAGACAAATGACTTTTCCTTTTTGAGCTACTTTTTCCTCATCTGTGAAAGGCAATAACATTAAGGACATGGCAGGTAGTGGGATAATGGAAGCAAACTACCCAGCTCTTGATAGGTCTCCCTAAATGGAAACAACAGCTACAATTCCATAGTTTTTAACTTCTGATCATTTTCACTTCCTTTGTACTGTCTTCACAATCTGCTGACATAAGTGGATTCGACTCCCATGTGACTGATGGAGAATTGTGGCTGTGAATGCTAAGGGACTGTCATCCTTCTTGGGCCTCTCTCTTGCTTTTTTTCCCCAAAGTTATGAATGTTTCTCAATGTTAGCAAAATCTATTTGGCACCAGTTCACAAGGAAGGGAAGAGACATAGCAGAGGGGGTAGAAGTACAGACTTAACTCTTTCTTGGCTGCCATACCTTCCAGAAACATAAAATACTAGCAGATCTTCCCAACAACTTTGCTCTGAAATACCAGATACCAAGTGTCCAGAACAGCCCCTGTTGAGCAACTGACTCCATCCAATGCAATGTTGGTCGAATTTTAGAAATACTGAGGCGGCCTTGTATATTTTGATCTGGAGTGATATTAAGATGCATCGTTAAGAAGAGAAAGCCCCCTATCACATCTCTGGAGGGACACTTAAAAAACTTATATCCATGGTTGTTCCTGGGGAAAAGGGTGGGAGACTTACTCTTCATTGCTTATCCCTTTATACCACTTGAAATGTATGCCACAAGCCTAAAGTATCTTTCTAAAAATAAAATTTAATTGAAAAACAAAAGTCAACCAACTATTGTCTTTGCCATTCAAAGGCATCCCTTTTATCCCAAACTCTGACGGCACTGAGAGAATTCAGGCACTTGGAAGGCACTTTATTTTCAGAGTTCGGTGCAGGAGAGTGAAAATTATCCAAGTTCTTTGAAGTTCAAAGTATGTGAGCTGCTCTGGACTGCAGGCTGGCAGGATGGGTTTGCAAGATGGCTGGTTTAGGAAACTTTCCATTCCAGCATGTTTCTTGGGTTCCAGATACTTTACACTAAGCATTTTTTCCTCATAACTCTGAGGTAGATGCTACTAATTTCTCTGTGTGACAGATGAGGAAACTCAATAAGCAGCAAAGGATGAATGTGAAGCTAATTTAGGCAGTTTCTGACATCCAAGCTTTTTTGAGAAAGAAAATGCCACTGTCTGCGGAGACTGTGTTGATTTCCTCTACCTCTTCCCAAGTCTGGAACAAATCCTGTCTCCTTAGAGGGGAAAAGGAAGGGAAGAAGCCACAGGACTGGAGAACATAGCCCCATCCAAGGACTGAAGCTTCAGGAAACAGCAGACTGTGGGATTTTGAGAAAAGAAATGAAACACTCATAGGCTTGGTTGTGCGGGGCAATCCTTTGTCCCATAACCCAGGGACAAAGTTCACCCATTTACGAACTACTGCATTCAGTAAACATGAGTTGGGTGCCAGGCATTGGAATGCAGTGGTAGGCCAGCACAGACAAGGCCCCAGTCTCTCTCCCATATACACCCTGACTCATACCACACAATTGGTGGTAATATAGTTCAGTGTGGAGAGTACCATCTAGAGTCAGATGGCCTGCTCCACCACTTAAAACTGTGTGATCTTGGGTAAGTAACTTAACCTCTTATGACTCAGTTTCCACCTCTGTAAAATGGGAATGATCGTAATGGTAGCTACCTTAAGATAGTGTATAGAGTTCCATAACACATGTAAAATATTTTGCACAGGCCTGGCACGAAGTAAGCACTCAATATTAGCTGTTACTATTATTAAACATAAGCACTATATGTTTCATGAATACAGGAGCTGTATCTTCTTGCTCACTGAGACCCCACCACCTAGCACATAATAGGGGCTCAGCAAGTACTTAAGGAATAAATGCAGAGATGAAACTTGGCTTACATATGTAAATAGGTCCACCTGGGTCTTTTTATGTCAAGCCCGACTGAACACCTACTAGGTGCTGGGAGCCACAAGACATTGAGAGTAGATCCTATCCTTAAGGAGTGTTTGACATTGGTGATGCTCAGCAGAAGAGATGCTAAATATAAAGTTGTTGGATGAATAAAGGTATTGGTAAATGAATAACTATGAAGTAAGCTCCCTGGCCAAATAAATATGCCCTGAATCCCGAATCTCATGCAGACATTAGCACACACGCCTTTCTCCGGGGAAGGAACCAGAGGGCACAGAGCGCGGAGGTGGTCTCAGCTCCTGATCCGGCTTCACGCCTGCGTCCTCAGGACTCCGTGCGGTGACGTCATGTCCGCGCCTAGCCGACATGACGTAACCGGGGGCGGGGCATACGGAAGCCAAACGTAACCACCCCGAAGTTTCTGGGACCCAGACTCCGGCCTCTGCTAGGTAGCTCGAGACTGGCGGATTCTTGCAGTGCACAGGCGTCTGAGAGGCGTCAGTCTGCTCCCGCGGAGACCCATAGCGTAGCGGCTATTTTCCGGGAGTGGGCTCAGTCGGCCGCGCGGGTGACGCAGGACGCGCGACTCAGACCGCATGCGTAAGGCGGGAGCGACGGCGGGCGGCGCGGGGTGGCCTGAGGTACCTCTCCGCTGCGGCGGAGGACGCGGCGTGCGGAAGGCGAGGCTGGGCTGCGAACCTGCCCAGGCCTCTGTGCGACGCAGTCGCGGACGCGGACGGTGGTTGCGGACCATGGGTGCGGACGCCAAATAAATAGCGGACGTTAGTCGAAAAAAGATTGAAAGGGACCTAAGTGCCCAACAGGAGGGGACTGTGTGTGTGTGCGTGCGTGCGCGCGCGCGTGTGCGTGCGTGTGTGTTTGATTTAGTCCAGAAGCTATGTTGAATGCCTGCTGTGTGTGATACACTGTTTTAGGTTCTTGGGAAACAACCGTGAACAGGACCGATCCTTTTCTTTTGGAGTGTACACTCTATTAGGGTCGAGGGGAGGGGAGTACAAATAAATAACAATTACGTAGTTATGTTAGAATGTGGTAAGTATGATGAGAAAAGAATAGAGCAGAAGCAGGGAAGCGGGGACTGCCGTATTAGATAGCTACTGGACCAAATCGAGGGGTGAGATTTGAACAAAGCAATGGAGAAGACGAGAGTGAGCCATGTGGCTACCTAGTGGAAGAGTACGTTCCCAGCATGCAGAAAAGCTAGGAGTGGGGCCCAGAGCCTGGAGGGAAACTGGTGTGTGAGGGAGAGCTGTGGTGGAAGGGATTGAGCAGGGGGAAATAAATAGGACAAGAGGTCAGAGCGGTCTGGGGAAGCAGCGGTACAGATCAGGTAGGGCCTTGCAGGCGGCTGTAAAGACTTTGGCTTTACTCTGAGTGAAACGGGAACCATTGCAAGATTTTGAGCATGGAGATGGCGTCGCTTGAATAGATTTTAATAGGCTCACTCTGGCCGCAGTAGGTGCTAGTTTCGGGAGGGAAGCAGGGATGGCTGTTACTAACAGATGAGTTAAAGAGCATCCTTACAGCCATTAAAAAGGCTAACTTGGAAGATGATAATGGCAATGACTATATAGAAGTGCTCATATTTTTGTGGTGAGCTGGGTGAATACGCCAGGCTGTACCCCGGCATCATCTTTTGAAGTCTCAGGACAGCCTGCAGAGGGCAGTGCTGTGATTGACCTTGAGGCTCAGGCCTGGCCATGGAGAGGTGACTGCTCAACACTTGCTCCTTAAGTTTGTGTGTGTAAGTGTGTAAAATATGCCTAACAGAACTTACCATTTTTAAAACGTACAGTTCTTTGGCATTGAGTACACTCATTGCTGTGCAGCTTTCACCACTATCTCCAGAATCCTCTTTAAGTCTTCATTATTATTGGCTTCCTGAACCTCAGGCCCAAAGTCATTCCCGTACTCAGGCAGCCAGTTCCATCAAGGCAGTCAGTAATATTTTAAAAACATCTATCATGTGCTAGACAACGAATGAAATAAATAGGGTCCTCTTCTTCCTGCCCTTCTAGTCAGGGGAGATTCTAGTGATTGGAAAAGAAGCACCAGATAACCATTGCTGCAGTCCTGAAACTAAAGATTCTTTTCAACCTATAGGCCTAACACTTTAACCATTCAGTCTGTCATATATTCAGTAAGTTTGTTGAATACCTACTCCATGCCAGACACAGTAAATATTCACGTTTGTTGAGTGGATGGTTGGATGTAGCTCCTTGACTCTGACTTCTCATTTTCTCTGGTGGTCACCATCTGGGAGTGGTTGGGACTGGCCTGACCGAGAGAGGTTTTTACAAATGTAGGTCTATAGCTATGTGACCTTGGATTAGTCCCTTTCCTTGATTGGGCCTCAGTTTCCTGGTCCCTTTGTGGGGGAACCAGATAGTAAACAAATGAAATGTTAAGAAATTACATAAAAAGGGAACATAACTTAGAACAGGGTGTCAAAAAGGTCTTGAAGAGGTGAAACTATTGGAAGAGGTGAACTGTAAGCTGTAATTTGAAGGATGAGTGGGAGTTATCCAGAGGGAGAGTAAGGTGGGAGTGGAGCCACGGACAGAGATTCCCGACTAGGGGATCAGCATGTTCTTGAAAGTTTCAGGTCTGTTAGAAATGGCATTGAGAGCCCATTCCAGGAATTCCTCTTCTCAAACCTGTTGCTATTGAAGCTGTCTTTCATGCCAAATAGCCCTTTGTTGACCTGGCCTCCAGACTGAGAGAACTCACAAATCGCACATGGGAGAGTCAGCAGAACTACCACCCCTCATTCTCCTGTGTATGTTCAGTGTTGACCGAGAGTAAACAAGAAGAGGGCCTTCAGATTTCAGGTTTTACTCCTTTATGTTTCTACTTTTTTTTTCTTTTTGGATTAAGAGGCATCATATCAGAGTGGTCTTGAGGGTGCTCAGGAGTGGTTGGAGGCTCTGTTCCCTTGGGCAGGTGTTACCTGTCTTTGCTAAGTTTTAATGTCCTCTTCTCTAAAATGGAAGTAATGTTAGCTTTTACCTCATAGGATCAGTTTGAAGGCATATGAAGTATTTAACACAGAGCTGGGTACTCTGTAGGGGAAAATGTTCAGTGGGATTATGTTATTAGAATTTATTAAGAACACATGGTGTGGCATGTATGATATATAGAAATTTCTTTGTTTCTGTGTGGGTAACCTTAGTTTGATTAGAATTAGATGCATTACTGTCTGTTGCAGTTCTTTAAAAAATCAAATAGGTCAAATACTCATTAGAAACGTGAAAAATAGCTCGTACGTTGCTAATTTCTAGCCCTCTTGACTCTTAATGTAGGTGTAATCAGCATTGGAAAAGATGCCAGCCCCAGCTGCCACATATGAAAGAATAGTTTACAAAAATCCCTCTGAACACCACTACATGAAAGTCTGCCTGTAAGTTCAGTCTCCTAAGTTCTATTTTTGGTTATTTTATGAATTTGAGTAGCATGAAATTTAATACGAGGTATTATTTTCTTTTTCATTTTTTTTGATAGAGAATTTCAAGATCATGGAGTTGGACTGAATGCTGCACAGTTCAAACAGCTGCTTATTTCAGCCCTGAAGGACCTGTTTGGAGAGGTATGAAATCACTCGATAGATTGAACATTCCTAAGATCTTTGTAATAAATACTGAAAGAACACTTTTCCAAATATTTAAAAACTTTAAAATCATATTTGTAAATTCAGAAGCAGACTTTCAGAAATGATGAATTTTAGGTAAGTGTGTTCTAATACGCCTTCTTTTTGACAAGGAGCTCATTAGACAAATGTTTATTTTAGTGCAATGCTACTCAAAGTGTGGTCCAGACTGGCAACTACAAACTGTTTTTTGTTTGTTTGTTTGTTTTGCCCATTGTGAAGATTTGAGAGTCACACTAGAAAGGTAAATCAGCACAGCACTTCCTTTACTGAGAAAAATCTCCTTATGAAAAAAACTGAGCTGAACTAAACAGTGTTCTTAGTGATATTGATATTTATTCCGATGCAGCTCCTTATCACAGATGAACACTTTGAGCAGTCATGTTTTAGCATTCACTTAAAAACGAATTTTGAGAGAGAACAAAGACAGATGATTTTCAAGAAGTTACTTCTTGATTTATATATTCTGTCAAATCAAAATCTGCTAAACAGCTCATAAAAATTTAAAACTTTATTCCACACAAGACTCAATTGAGAGCATGAAAAAAACAAATAGATTGGAGGAAAATATTTGCAAACCACATATCTGACAAAGGCTTAATATCTAGAGTATGTAAAGAACTTTCAAAATTCAGTAGTAAAAAACTAAACAACACAGTTAAGAAAATGGGCAAAAGACATGAACAGACATTGCACTAAAAAAGATGTGGGCAAAGAAGCACATGAATGAAAAGATGTTCAACATTATTAGCCATTAGGGAAATGCACATTAAAAACAATGAGATAATCACTACACACCTAGCAGAATGACTGAGACGAAAAATACTGATAATACTAAATGTTGATGATGTGGATAAACTGAATCACTCATACATTAGTGGTAGGAATGTAAAATGTAAAAAATTTTAGGTATAGTCTCTTTGAACACAATTTAGCAGTTTCTTAAATTAATCATGTACCTACTATACAACTCAGCAACTGCACACCTGGACATTTATTCTAGAGAAATGAAAACTTAACATTCATGCAGAAACTTACATATGCATGTTCACAGAAGCTTTATTAGTAAGAACCCCTAAATAGAAATAAGCTAGATGTCCTTTAATGTGTGAATAAACTATAGTACATTTATACCACGATATATGCTCAATAATAAAAAGGAACAAACTATTGATACACCAAACAACGTGACCAAATCTCCAGAGAATTATGCTTAGTGAAAAAGCCAATCTCAAATGGAAACATGCTGAGTGTTTCCATTTATATAATGCTTTTTTTTTTTTTTTTTAGAATTTTACAAAATTTATTGTCTATGGTAGCTCTCATTCACAAATCCCACGCTCAGGCGTGCTCGTGTGCAGGTTGGGTGTCTTTTGTTGAGTTTTAGATGTTCAGCTTATTGTTGTTTCAAGGGGAGAGATCTGGGGACATCTCTCACTCTACCATGTTTCTGATGTCACTCTATATAACGCTCTTGACATAACAATTTGAGAAGGATTAGTGGTTGCCTGGGGTCAGGGATATTGGAGAAAGTGGGTATGACTATTAAGGAGTAGGAGGAGAGAGCCTGTGGAGATGGTGTAGCTCTTTATCTTGATTACAATCAAGTGGTTACATGAAACTACATATGTGGTTACATGAAACTACCTACGTGGTAAAATGTTATAGAACTATGCATACGCATACATAAATACGAGTGCATGTATAACTGGTAAAATCTGAATAAACTTTGTTTTGTCAGTTTCAGTTTCCTGTTTTGATATCATGCTATAGTTGGTACAAGATGTTGACATTGAGGGAGGCTGGATAAATCTCTTATGACTAATTTTTCAAAGTAAAGAGCTTAAAAAAATATATGTGTACCTTCTATATGTCAGATATGAAACCTAGTTCTGGGGGATATAGCTATAAACAAACAGACATGGCCTCTGTCTTATGGACTAATGGTTTTGGTTATTTTTAGAAGAAAACCATGTTGAACAATTAATGGCAAGGATGATGAGTGTTATCCCTGAGACCAGTAAAAAAAAAAAAAAAGACCTGAGGGCCCAGTCTGTCCAGTGAGGCCAGACTGCCAGGTTCTATCCCATAATTCAACGATAAGACATCAAGCAATAAATATTTGGAATAGACAGTTTCATAAGGAAGTAAACACATTTAAAAAAAGAATGATGAGTATTATGAAAGAGGAAGTATGTGGGTCCTGTACATGAAAGAGCAGAGCAAGTGAATGAGCTTAATCTTGGGGAAGGAACAATTTAAATGAAGACTTGAAGGATGAAGAGGTATTAGCAATGTGAACATTCGAGGCAGGGGGTAGTTGTAAATAAGCAGGCCCACTATTCCAGCACCATTAAATAAAATACTGCATTTTTGGAGGAAAAAAGCAATTGATAGGATTAGTTTTTAGAGTTCAAGACTAATGTTGATAATAGTCTGCTAATAGCATTATTGCATACTTAGGTTGATGCTGCCCTACCCTTGGACATCCTAAACTATGAAGAGAAGACCTTGTCAGCTGTCTTGAGAATATGTAGCAGGTATGGCAGACAGTGGGACATTTCTAGTATAACAGCAGAAAGACGAATGGAGAAATAGAGCAAAAATGCTCTCTGAGAATAAGAGCTTTGTCATTGTGAACTCTGAGCAGCTTTTGGAAGTTTAAACTGGGGAGAATATGAATATTCATCGAGCAGGAACTTACACACTGGAGAGCAAAACTTGAGATTTGCTGACAACTCCAGTGTTTCCCAATTGATGATCATAGTTGTAAACTCAGAAATATATACTTTAGAAACAATTGAGATTTATTTTATTCTCTGCCTATGATATATTATGCTTTTCTTTTTAAAGTTTTCTCATTTAAGTTAGATTTTCTGGATTAGCACAGAAATACTAGGAAGATGTTGCAGGGACAAATATTTATTAATGCTTTCTTGATTTTTCCATAGCGGTCTTGTCAAATTGTGGAGCTCTCTGACCCTGTTAGGATCCTATAAAGGCAAGAAATGTGCTTTCAGAGTGATTCAGGTAAAGACTATTCACATATTCTAAATGAGGCTGAGTAATGGATCAAATTACTTTTTAATATGTGTTCCATTTTTGTGTTTGCATAAATCCAGTGTGGTTAATATCTAGCTAGGGAAGAAAAAGAACTTCATTGCTTCCAATTGTATGGGAGGAGTTTGGGATAAAACTTGGAACTCATACAGAAAAGTCTTAACTTTTCATTTATTGCTTAATGCCTAGTGCCTTATGTATTGGGATGCTCTTTCTGAGCTTATCATGACCACTTGTTTATCTAAGGCTTCCTCTCAAGATGCTGTTTAAAATGCTACTGCATAACTTGGTTTGTCCTATAAAACTAGGCATGTTTCTACATTGCCTTGTGTTTCAGTGCAATTTTCTCCTGATAACTGTGTTAACATTTTTCTTTCTCTTATAGGTTTCTCCATTTCTCCTTGCATTATCTGGTAATAGTAGGGAACTAGTTTTGGATTGAATAGTCTTCAATTTCAGAAACATTCCTCCGCTCTCAAAAGTACGTTTTGATGCCAGCATAATGTGTGAAAACTGAAGCAGGCTAAAAACCTCTCGTTGATGAAATTCGAGGATGCCGAAGATGTTCCCAGTAATTTCCAGCCATCGTCTTTGGTGGGGTGGGCTTCCGAGGAGAATCTGCCTGAACCAACCAGTGCTAAACAGGCAGCACTTTCAGCATGTGCACATCAGAGTTGGAGACCGGGCTGAACTCAGCAGGGCCTTCACACAGAGGGATGTGATTTCCTTCTCAGAATTAACAGGGGATGTCAATCCTTTACATTTAAATGAAGATTTTGCAAAACACACCAAGTTTGGAAAGACAATTGTACATGGAGTTTTGATCAATGGACTTATTTCAGCTCTCCTAGGTACTAAAATGCCAGGGCCAGGCTGTGTATTTCTTTCCCAGGAAATTAACTTTCCAGCCCCTTTATATGTTGGAGAAGTTGTTTTAGCTTCTGCGGAAGTGAAAAGGCTGAAGCGGTTCATTGCTATTATTGCAGTGTCGTGTTTTGTAATAGAAAGTAAAAAGACTGTTATGGAAGGCTGGGTTAAAGTTACGGTCCCAGAAGTTCCCAGATCCTGAAATATGTGTTTAAAGATGCAAGTTCATGCATCAGTGTTATCATTATCAAGAGCCTCTGAGGAAAACAGGGATTGCTGCTCTTCAACAAGGAATGGCTAACGGACCCAGCAGCCCATATTGGAGGAGGGGAACAGGTAGAGAGGTGTTCACATGTCCACTTTCCAAGTTGGCTTTATGGTTCACACAGACTTTATATCACCTGCCTGGTTTTTTTAAATTAAAAAAATACATATTGGGAAGGTTGTTTAGCTAAAGGTTCTACTTTTAGGATTTCAAACCTAGTTAGATTTGCATTTGGATAACACAAACCCACCTATATCTGTATAGAATAAGTTTCCCACTGAATTTCTAACTAGCTAGCATTTAATTATTGAAGGCAACAATAGACATTGGGTCATCTGAACATCTATCTTTTACGAGTAAATATTCTTAAATATTCTTCAACAGCTTCTGGGTCAGAGTTTTTTGTAATTTGTTACTGTTTACACCAAGGTGGCATCTTGCTTAACTTTCAAGTGGTACTTGCCTTTCAGATAGTTTTCCTGTTATCCGAGAAGGGTTATCGTGCAGATTTGGACTCAGCTATGTAAACTCTTGGTTTAATCTATAAAATGGGGATACCACCTACCACACAGGATTGCTAGAGATGATAGATACAAATAGCAAAGCACAAGACCTAGCCTGTAAACAGTAGCTACTACTATTATTCATTCTCCCTGTGAATGAAGTTAGAAGTTTTCCTGAGTTTAAAGCTAACCGGCCCACAAGTAAACAGGCCAGTCTTTCAGGATGTCAGGCAATCTCTTGGTCTTCTAAACCTGGAATAGATCTTGAAATGCACAGTGTCTGTTTTGGTAATGCAGATTATTTTCTCCCATCCTTGAAAATATTGTGGGTTCCCCCCTTTGTAAAAATAATACATGCTTATTGTAAAAAATTATAAGAAATAAAAAGTATAAGAAACACTGTGGAGACCAAGTTCTTAATAGTTCAGGGGGATTGACAAGGAAATGTGCCTAATATGTTAGTACTAAATGGTCATCCCGAACCATTTTAAGAATCCTTTTAAGAATCTGTACTGGAACATAGATGTGGTCTGCCTATGCTCTGTGGCTTTACATGGTGGCTCTGACCACAGCTAGATGCTTTGATCAGGAATATAAGAAGTGTAATTGGTTGAATCAACCCACATTTTCTGGAAAAAGGATTTTCCTCCCACTAGTGGGTCAGTAACTAGATTTTTAATTTTTTTACATTAAGGGTATCAGTTAAAGGAATTACCAGAAGGAATTATTCTAGTCACTAGAGGGCAGTGATCTACATAAAGTATTTTAAAACTTAAATATTGTACTGGACTTGTTTGTGACAGTGAGATGGAAATAACCAAAATTAATGTGAGAAGCAAAGATGCCATTATGAGTTTCAGAATGGGCAGAATTGGCAAGCTGAGATCCACCTGAAGAAGACTCATAAGTAAAACACTACGCATGTTGGAAATTTGATACAACATTGAAAAAATGTAAACTTGCACAAAATGTGGACTTGAAGCTATAATCAAGTTTTGCTCCTATAGAACTCATTCTCTGGGACTTAGCAGCAGTCTTGAAGTATGGGTCCATAAATGGAGTGTGATGTGATCATCAATACTAACAGCTGCCATTTTTTTAATACCTGATGAGCCAATTTTCTACATTAATCCTTGAAACAACTTTATCAAATTAAGTTTACGTCCCATTTTATAGGTAAGAAAACAGACAGGTGCTGTGTGACTTTTCCAAGGTTGTACATCTAGTATGTAGTAGAGCCGGGATTCAAAGGGGCCTGCTGCTTCAAAGCTTTTTTTCCAATCATTTTATGGATCTTACAATGTTACTGTTACTGGATCACTGTCAGTTTCTATAATAGTATCTTGTTAAGTGGCATTAAAGCATTTGGAAACATAGAATTTTTTTAAATATTCAAAATATTCTAGATCTTATTCCTTGCTACAGTGGTAGCATTTTTCTATATATTACGGTGGGGATGATGTCAGATCTGACTGATAGCTGCTTTATACTGTGTAACTCAAAAGTAGCTTCTCAAGAAGCTCATTTCCTTTTTTTCTTGGATGTCATGGTCTATGATCTCTGTAAGTCAAAAAGTTGGACTAGAGAAGTGGGCAAGAAGTTAGGGATACATCTCTGTAAATGACTTGCTAGTTTTACTCAGAACTAAGATTCTCAAACCACCGATGCTTTGTTAAAGCTGGCTATAAAGAAAACTGGCAGGTTGGCTTTTTCATTTTGAATTCTTTTTATACAAGCTACTGGAAAGAATGATTCTTCTAATGAAAGCATGGATGACCTTCAAATTAGGAAATCGTCTCTCTTAATTAAGAGGCAGTCTTGACTATATGAGGTCACACATGAGTACAAAAGTACTGACTAAAATAGGCCAAATTGTACTAGCACTTTCCACTTAGGGGCATTATAAGACTGCAATTCATGCAATGTTTGATCACCACAGAAAGATATACTCATCTTAAGCAATTTCAGCCTAATGTACTAGAAAATTGCTTAACAGATTTTTATATTCTATTAGAAACATTTCCATGTTGGTGAAATGCCACTCATTTCTTTTTCTAAGCGGCAAATCTTGAGTAACAATAGGAAGAAAATGTGCACTTGCCACCATTCATCTTGTGGACTTGTGTTTTCAACTAGAAAAAGAAGGAACTGCTAAATGCATACTGGTATTTCTTAGGTAACCACAGGTTTTCATTTTGTGCTAAATTGTTAAGTTATTTTTCTTCTATGTTCTTTGAGTATGATTCAGAGACCAATTTATTCCCAAAGAAAATTGCTATTAAATTACATCTATTAAGTTTTTATATTAAAACATACTCTACCAAGGGTAGACTGTCACTCTGAGCAGCTGCGCCACTGAATGCCTCATGCGTTGGCATAATTTATTAACTGGTGCTCTCTGAGCAGAATGAGAGCACTATGGTATTACCTCTGGGCTACATATTACTCTTGAATATTCTCAGGGTCCCAGATGTTTTACTTCCTTTGCTCTTGGCTTGTCTTCCTTTGGATCACAAACACAACAGAGACAAGAATTCTCAACATCAGTGAAATTTCAGGTTGTTGCCAAATCACCAACTAGGAAAAACCATTTAAGTTCAAAATCACAAGAAAAAGGCTAATGTTAACACTACACAGAACAGGATTAATGGGAGACCCGACCCCACAGTTAATTTCTAGGGCACAATCAATTTCTAGGGTGGCTCTTAGCTATTACACAGTTCATATGACCTTATAAACCCTGGGGGAAATTCCTCTGCGATATGATGGAAAATATCAACACGTTAAGGAAAATAAGTGATCAAATTTGAGTTAAATTTTATTTTTTAATTCAGATCGTGAATATGTAAAGAAAATAATTTAGAGTTGGGAGGCAATGCTTCTTAGGAGGCGCTGAGGCTTCATAAGTGCGATTTGATTTATAGAGCAGTTGCCAGGTCTAGAAGCATCCTCACTAAAACTCATCTTCAGTTAATCTCCCAATGTCAAGTTGTTGTATAAATAACATGTGGGCCACCAACATTTAGTAACATTTAAGAATATAAGTATTTTTTCTGCTAGCCCTGAGTAGTAGTGTATGTGGCAAAAACTAAGGTACCACATGTCTCATTAATTTCACCCAGACAAACTAGAAGCAAAACTGATTTGATTCAGCTCAGCTCTGCCTGAGGAGGCTTCCCCCACATTCAGTGTGAGCCACTTAAAAAGCCAAACAGATGTTGGGACTGTCGGTGAGGGTTGGGGCTCCAGAGAATCTAGGGATCCAGTTAAGTCCAGGATCCTCAGAGGATCCTGACAAGGCTGATCTGGGAAGAGGAAAATGAAATTATAAGGCTCATCATAGTATCTATTTGAGGGGCTTCCTTCAGGCAAAAATTTTCAAGAGAAAGGCGAAGTCTAATTGAGAGTCTCTGGCCTTATTCACTCAAGTATCTGATTTCTCACTTTCAGTTTCCTTTTCCTAGTTAGGAAGACTAGACAAGTTTGTTGACCTTTGCAACTCATTGTATGGTATTATTTTTTCCCCTAATTATACAAGTAAAATACCCTCATTAGAGACATTTTGAAAAACACAAAAGAACATAAAAATAGAAAGCATTATGATCCCACTTCCTAAAGTGGATATATTTTTTATATTTGGGATTGTACAAATGCATATACAGTTGACCCTTGAACAACATGGGGGTTAGGGGCACTGAACCCCACGCAGCTGAAAATTCACATATAACTTGACTTTTCCCAAACCTAACTACAGTTATTCCTCTATATGGGAGGATTGGTTCCAGTACCTCCCCACCCCCAGCGTGGATACTCAAATCTGAGGATGCTCAAGTCCCTTATATAAAATGGTATAGAACAATGGTTATAGTCAGCCCTCTGCATCTGTAGATTCCCAATTGTGGATCAAAATACTATTTTTGACCCACGATTGGTTGAATCTGCAGATGCAAAAATGGGGATATTGAGGAGCGACTGTGTGTTTATTGAAAAAAAATCCGCTGATAGGTGGACCCGCACAGTTCAAACCCATGTTGTTCAAGAGTCAACTGCATTGCTTTTTTTCACTTACTGTTAAAAGCTTTTTCCAACATCATTATTCTTTGATAATCTGATTTTTAATCATTGCAAAATATGATTGTACAATGATTTGTCTAATTCTCTATTGTTAGATACTTATCCTCACATGCTATGTATTTCCACTGATATCTGCTTATTTCCTCAGAATACCTTCCTAGAGATAGAATTTCTGAGTGAGAACATTTTCAAAGCCTTTGATGTTACTATTAATCCCAGTTCCTAGCACCAGGCCTACTTACATGGTAAGTACTTAGTATATAATTTTTGAAGGAATAAATGCATTCAGAAAGGTTGGACCAATTTTTACTCCCACCAATAGTATGCAAGAAGAGCCTTGTCATGGTCAGGCCACCATTTAATTATGACAGGAGTAATAATTAAAGCAGAATTTGGATGTCTGTGATTCTGGCAATGAAATAATCTGTTTGCCTTAAAGAAATGAAAGTAAAAAGCTGAATTCTCCCTAAGTGATATATGGTTTTGTTTTAATAGACTAGTGTTTTTAAACACACTGGGACACAAATGGAATGCAGGAGGAGTTCTGATTATTTTAGGACTGAATTATGAAGTTCCATGTTTCCCTTTTTGCATTTCTATCCACTGAGTCTTGGCCCCTAAGTCAGTTTGTCAAAGCTACTTGGCCACTTGGGGTTGTCCAATAATCCCATTAAACTTGAAATCTGGAGAGGATGCCCACTTTGGATACCGTCTAGGCCTGTGGTGTCAAATTTTGGTGGTGGTAGTGGTGGTAGTGGTATTACCAAAAAATTTTGTTCTCTTTTTGTCTGAAAGGTAGAAATTTAGGGGAGACAGATTTAAGAATTAGAAACGCTCCATTCTATGAACTGTAGGGGAAGGAAGAAAGTAATATTGAGCTTTTATTGTGTGCAAGCCCCTTCCCATCCTACTACATTCTTCATACCAACCTTTCCATACAAGTATTATCTCCATTTTGCAGATGAGAAGCTAGGCTCAGAGAGGTTGGGTAACTTATATAAGGTCACACAGCTGTCAAAATGCCAGAGCCCTGGAGATCCCTGCCATCTAATTTCAAATATAACTCTCTGCATCATCTTAGGATGCTGCCCTGGGAGAGAGCAGTGTGGGTGGGATTTCTATGTGTATGTGGGGTGGGGTGAGGATGAGTTGTAAGGAGTGCCAGAATTGTGGCCTTGGATTCAGGCAGAATCTGAGACAAATTTTGAGTCAAGAAGTTGGGCACAAAGTTCTCCTGCTGTGAGTTTGAGGTTTCTGGAGCTGGTACAGTGGGACTGAAGACCCCAAGTCTGAGGTATCTTGGTTGAGGGTTCTCAGGGTTCAAG